TACCCTTTGTTCTCTGTCTTTTAACAAGTTCTCAATCCATTAAAGGATCTTCCCTCTTATCCCATGACAACTTAATTTACGTAAGAGCCTTTGGTGAGGGACCTTGTCAAAGGCTTTCTGGAAATCTAAGTACACTATGTCCACTGGATCCCCCTTGTCCACATGTTTGTTGACCCCTTCAAAGAACTCTAATAGATTAGTAAGACACGATTTCCCTTTACAGAAACCATGTTGACTATTGCTCAACAGTTTATGTTTTTCTATGTGTCGGACAATTTTATTCTTAACTATTGTTTCGACTAATTTGCCCGGTACCGACGTTAGACTTACCGGTCTGTAATTGCCGGGATCACCTCTAGAGCCCTTTTTAAATATTGGTGTTACATTAGCTAACTTCCAGTCATTGGGTACAGAAGCTGATTTAAAGGACAGGTTACAAACCTTAGTTAACAGTTATGCAACTTCACATTTGAGTTCTTTCAGAACTCTTGGGTGAATGCCATCTGGTCCCGGAGACTTGTTAATGTTAAGTTTATCAATTAATTCCAAAACCTCCTCTCGTGACACTTCAATCCGTGACAGTTCCTCAGATTTGTCACCTACAAAAGCCAGCTCAGGTTTGGGAATCTCCCTAACATTCTTAGCCGTGAAGACTGAAGCAAAGAATCCATTTAGTTTCTCTGCAATGACTTTATCGTCTTTAAGCGCTCCTTTTGTATCTCGATCATCAAGGGGCCCCACTGGTTGTTTAGCAGGCTTCCTGCTTCTGATGCTGGATTCTCTTACCCGTGTACTTATCAGATTGTGCTTTACAGACCAAACCATATGAGCCACTGCTCCCTCAATGTTTTTCCAACCACCAAAAAAAGGGTGTGAAGACATCTACAAATGATACCTGTATCTTACCTTGAGTTGATTTCATGGCGCTGTGTTTATTTACATTAGTTTTCCTGTCGATGTAAAGGATTGTTGCCTTTAATTTGAAAGGTTGTGTTTATTTCCTCAGTCTTTGTCCCATTAGTGAATGAGTCCTAATGTCTATGAGTTGAAAAATCACTCCATCTAGTGTCAACATGTGGACTTGCATTGCATTTAAATGTGCATGCACTGTACGATGTCCTAAACTTTTAAAACGACATGAGAATTTGAGGCCTATAAAATGTCCAGTACTGGGGTAATAAGAAGAAATGCCACAGAATTGTGAATAATGACAGCAACAAAACTCCATGGTGAAAAGGGGGTGTCAGAGGGGAGAAGCTAGTAAACTATCTGTGCCTTGTGCTCAAAGCACTCATTTTGGATTGCAATGTCCTGGGAAGATCCATCCCATGCTCATGTACATTGGAAGTCTGGAGTAACTCCATTGGAATCAATCGAGGTGTAGGCCAGATCACCCTCATGGTCTTGTATTTGGGAGGTTACACAGACTAACCTGATCATTTAAGCAATACCAACTTGTTACTGATTCTAATGACACAACAATGTCTTGAACGTTTATCCATTCACTGGTATTACTGGTCTGATCCAATGCCCATTGAAGTCAGTGGGAGTCTATTCACAGAGTAAAATCCAAATTGGTGTAGACCCTTTCTACTTTCTATCCGTCTTTATTTTTTTTCTAAGGAATAATTTCTGCTTCAACGTTGCTATGTAATCATGCCTTGTTTTTAAACTAAACATTTTTTAAAGTAATCATATAAAGGAGTTTATGTGTACTTATACACACTGTTAATTTAGAGCCTGATCTCACTCTGATTAAAGCCAGTGGAAAGGCTCCCATAGACTTCAGTGTTTTAGATTAGAACCGATGATTATGGTTCCTGCAGTCTCAGGTCCTATGTAGTTTTGTAAATATAAAAAGAAAAAATTAAAATAGGAGTTGATGGAATTTGGGGAATCGAAAGGTTCTGTGGCATAAAGAATCCAAGAGTCAGATTCTGATCTCAGTATCCCTAGATTATATCTAGAAGGACTAACTCTGGATTTACCCTGAAAGCAGAATTTGGCCCCAATTGTCAGTGCTTGGAATCTTGAGTGGGGTGGCAAGGAAGATGGTGAGGGATGCTTGAAGGTAGCTGAGCTGAAAAGGAAAGGGAATTTAAAACAGAAGAAGGATTCAAGGGGAACTAAACACAGCTCTGGAGTCAGAAGGAAAGCAAGACCTTTGTGGATAGTTAAGCATTTATTTTATTAGTTGTTAAATCTTATTTTATTCACTGAGTCAAAGAAGTTGGCCTCCTCAACAATTGTTTCTGCATCAGACACAAAGGGATTGGATAGTCACCATCTCTAATGGCTAAGTACTGTCTGTCTAAGGCTGAGAACCATTGTTATGTGGGGGAGAGGAGGGGCTGTGACTTGCTGCTTCTGTATTTGGACTATCTTGGGAACTACACAGGGAAAAGATTTGGCCTATAGCTCTGTCAGGAGAGAGGAACCTGGCACTGTGATGAAATCAAACTTAATATCAGCAGCGAGGACACAGCTGAGATAACAGCAGCAACATCCAGCCCTTGTAGCTGCCAGATATGAACTGCTGGTGAAAATAGAATTCAGATGTATGTCAGGGTGGAGTCCCTTTAATATTCCCATGTCCCTTACATATCAGTTGATAGAATATTCCTATTGATCATTTTCTCCCTTCTTTCAAACCCAGGCTTCCCATAATACATATGTAAGATGTATCTTAAACCATTGTTATTCTTTTCGTTTTGAGCATAGATCTATTCCCCTAGTTCTGTGAACTGGCCACTGGGACAGGTGGAACTTCTTGTGCCGGATTTTCCCCTCTCAGTGACATTGCCGTTACACTAATAACTTTAACCTCAGTGGCGCTATGGCTAGTTTACACAGCTGTAAGTGAGGGGGCAATTAGGATCGCTGTGTCGTAACTGTGGAGGGGAAATGATACAGCCCTGTTTATATCTTCCCCCACATTATGAAAAGTCTGTGCCTCATCATCTCCCCCATTTAAAAGAGACTGGGGCACCCCTAGGAAAAGAACCGTATCTCACCACAGCTTCTTCCCCTTTCTAGAGAGTGCGTGTCACTCCTTCCTTCCTGCTAGGAAAAAATCTCTCGCCGTCTTGCCCAGGTCAGGTTACACCACAGTGGCTGTCAACCAGAGCAATCCCAGTGATATTAACTAAGCTGGGAGTCGGGCCGCTTCTCGCACGGCGCAGAGACTGAATTAGGGACATTGATTCAGGCACGGGACTGACCCCTGCCGGCTGCCTGGGCGATCGCAGCGACTCCGAGCTGCATTTCCAGCCTGGGGCCAGTGGGGGGCAGGAGGAGCGGAGCGAGACGCGCGGAGCTGAGGGTGCCGGTGTCTCGCCGGGTCGGCGTGACTAGTGGGGTGGAGCGTGTGAACAGCGACGGGAGCTATGCACTGGGGGAGAGGGGGGCTGGTGTGACAGGGTCCCTGTCTCTCCAGCCCCCCCCCATCCGCAGACCTTCCCCACCAGTGCAAAGGGCCACGGCACCCCTCGGGGGGCTGAGCCTGTGAGACCCGTCTCCCCCAATAACCATCCTCGGTGCCCCTAACTCCCACCCAATTCAGGATTGCAGTGCGTGGGTGCCCACCAGTAACCATCCTGGGGGCGTGGGTGCCCCTAGTCCCTGGTTTGTAGGTGCCCCATCACCGAATTAAAAATCCTGTGTGTGGGGGAGGGGGGAAGGAGGAAGGGGGGGTTCCCCCCCATATACAAGCTCTGCGGTGGGTGCATAAAAAGAGACCGTGTCTCACTGTCTTGCCCAGGCTACGCTGCAGTGGCTATTCACAGGCGCGATCCCACTACTGATCGGCACGGGAGTTTTGACCTGCTCCGTTTCCGACCTGGGCCGGTTCACCCCTCCTTAGGCAACCTGGTGACCCGAAGCTTCCCAGGGATCACCATATTGATGCCGAACTTAGTGCGGACACCCGATCGGCATAGCCCACTGCAGCCCAGAACTCCTGAGCTCAAGCGATCCGCCGGCCTCAGCCTCCCAAGTAGCTAGGATTACAGGCGTGCGCCACCGCGCCCGGCGATGCTGTTACCTCGCAGTCTGATACTAGAGGCTGCTGCTATGATGACGTCACGAGAGGGCGGGGGAGCTAGCTATTTCTGCGCCTGCGTAGGGTGAATACCTCGCTGACATTGTTCCACTCGCGCCTGCGCACGCCGGGAGACACGCTCGCCGATTTCAGCTGCGCCTGCGCAGTCTGCAGAGACGCGAGGGATGTCGCGGTGCAGGCCGGGACGTTCCGGTCGGGCAGGGTTGATTAGCGCATGCGCGGGGGGCCTTGCTCTCTTTCGGCGCGGTGCGAGCAGCGGGCAGGATGGGTCACCAGCAGCTCTACTGGAGCCACCCCAGGAAGTTCGGCCAGGGCTCCCGCTCGTGGTGGGTGCCGCCGGCTGGGGCCGGGGGAGCCGGCCCGTAGCCCCGGGCCGCCAGGGCGGGCTCCACGCGGGGCGGCGGCGCTCGCGGCCTGGCTGGGAGCCC